TGCTGAAACAAACACTCAGCTTTGTGTTAACAGCTGCTGGACAAAGGAAAGAGCAATAGGATTTCCCTGCCCAGTACAAGTGCTAAATATCCATTTGATTTTAATACTCTAATACCTGAAATAGTGGGTTTAGAATGAACTTTTGTTCATTCTCTAGGTTTAAAGCATGATTTTCTAACACAACAGCACATCTTCTAACCAGATCAACTGGAAGTTCTCTGGTTTCAAATTCCTGTCAGTGAGGCCTGGACACATTGGCTATAGATAAGAGCATAGAGATGAAAAAGTTGTCAGAACCATGATTTTTACCTGAAAGCCCCACTGTAGTCGTAGTATCGCTCTTGGGAATTCCGTGCACATTTGTTCTGCCCAGCAGAATCCCCTTTGCAGAGCTTACAGAGCGATTTGGGATAGGTTAGGCCATTTGCTCCAGGAACACAGCTTGCATTGAAATAGTCACTTACAGCTGAATATGAAATAAGAATGAGAAATTTTTAGCAATGAATAAAGATCCTATAATCTCATTTTAACACATCTAGGCAGAACATCTCTTAACAATATTTAGAAGGTGGAAATAATTTTGTTCTTAAAAGATAGTTTCCAAGTTTAAGAAAAAAAACCCTGCAGCCTTCATCAGACTTAGGTTTATTCCATCTTACCATGAGAATCAAAGCCAAAGAACAAACAGCACCTAGAACCACACATAAGGTCCCAAGACCTTATGAAAAGGCATGCTGAAGAACAGATCTTGGCCTTGTAACTCCTACCTTTTGGAAGGTCACATCCCATTGCTGCCAGGCGTCCACTGTCCATCAGATAACCCACTGGGACATCCCAGCCAGCAGTTCTGTTGATGCCTGTGTGGCATGAACTGACACCCTTCAAACTGTTGATAGTGATGTTGGAGCTCTTTCTTGCCACAGCCACAGCATAGTAGGAAGTTCCAATCTCTGCAGCACAGGAAGAAAGGGAAGCAAGCAAAGTAGCCTCACAGTGGCATTACAGTGACAGACACTGATGTGTGGCCTCTTGTGCCTTCTCAGGCAAGTCTCATTGTCCACATCCTTGGTGGGAACCTGATGACCATAACTGAATATCCTCTGTTATCTCTTGAGTATGAAATATCTTAGTTAAAGGTCACAGGTAATCTGCTTTAACTTGGAAGGTCACCCTGCTCTGAAAGGGAGGTGGGATGAAGACATCCAGAGGTTCCTCCCAAGAAGAAAAACCGAATCCAGCTCCAGCTCATAACAGCATGGTGGAACACCAGGTGCCTGCAGATGGCTTCAAGAGCTGTTCCTTCCCTTGGGTCTCTAAAAATTATGGGGGACATCTTCTAGCTCTGAACTACACAAACATGTTGATACTAAGCCTGTAGTCAGGATGACAAGTCACCACTGAATTATTATCTCTGTCTTGAAAGGAACTCAAAGCTTAAGGACACCAGGAGGAGAATCTCTCTCTTCCAGCAGATAATAATATACACTATTGAAAATAAAATAAAATAATTCTCATTTATGGAATTGAGAAATAAACCAAACAACAATTTATACTTTGCAATTCATTAATCTGTCTGCAAAGTACAGAACAGTAAGCAGTGAGACAATTGAAAATAAACAAACAACAACAAACCTCAAACAGGAATGGCTATTTTGACCTAACTGTTTCAGGACAAACTGTGCCTCAGTCCTGCATCTTGGGATTCCTCCAAACATTCTGTTATGAGCAGGAACATCCAAGAGGGAACCTGACCATTACCTACTGTTAAGAGTCTTCGAGAGGAGGACCCCAAAATTAAATGGAAACAACTAAAATGTGTAAGAAAAAGCAGATATTAAGTAACATGGAAGTTACTTAGTCAGAATATACCTTGATCATATACTTCCCCAACCACAGGTTTCAGACCATGCTCCTTTCCAGCCTGGTAAATCAAACGGCCATCCAGTGTCACCGCATCTGCCAAATCATCCTGTGCACACATGTTGAAGATAAATTATCAGTATTTCTCAACAGCCAGAGGCAGAAGACATATGAATTTAATCTCTATTATGCGACTTCTTGTATCCAAGAAGTTCTTCTAAGGGCACTCAAATTTCTAAATGACAATTACCAAGAGGGATTTTAGAACTTCAAAACCACCTTCCTTGAGAAATAATGCAGAAACCAGTCCTGAACCATGTTGGCCTCACTTGTCTTTATAGTCCCAAAAAATCTTAGAAATGGTTCCTACAGCCCTGTGATTAATCTAAAGGCCCACAAGTTTGGAATTTTATTCATTTCTATAGCTGGTGCCCCAAAGCTTGAAGATTTCAAGAAAGTAAATGTAATTTTTGAGGTCATACAGATAGTTTGAAGCAATGTTTTCTGCGGCTGTAAAATCTGAATTCCCAAGTTCACTCAAAAGCAACCTTAAAGCACTGTAGCTTTGGAGATGTGCGTGTCTGCTGGCTTGTACCCTCAGCAGAGAAAAAAAACACGCATTTTGTGAGAAGGGAAGCAGATGGCTGTGCGTTTCAGAGGAGGAGAAAACCATCTAAAAGGACCACTGAAAGTGGGGGTATACAAATCTGGGGCATCCACTGCTGGGAAGGTGTCCAACAATACTGTTATCATTTCAGCTGACTGTAACAAGTGACATAGACATCTGACAGTGAGAGAAAGAAGAGCAGGTGGGAGGTAGAAGGGTATGACCCTCAGGAAGAAGAAAATGAGCCTCTATAATTGGGGTTGAACAAAAAAACAGAGCAGATAAAATGGGAAGGCCTGGCCACAGAAGACAACAACTTGATTAGGTGGACATATTGCCACATGAGACAACACTTTCTGATTGGAAAGCTGAGCCTTTGAGATCCATTTAGCAGAAGAACCTCCAACAACAGCTTGTGTATAAGTAAGAGTGTATAAATCACAGAACAAGACAGAAAAAATGCCTATTGTATTTAACACTAAGTAGTTTACACGCTACAGACCTCTTCCCTTTAAATGCCCACCATCACTGCTGAGGTGATGCATCAGCAGTATGGGTATTTTATTTTTTTCTGTAGCAAGTATTTACCAATACATTTAGCAAAAGAACAGGATATTTTTTGCTAAGTGTATGTGCAATGGCAATACCTGTTACTTATTTTCAGAAGGACTTCATTTTTGTGTGTCACAACATTTGAGAATTATCTACAGAAGTGTTCAAAGATCTGAAGAATAGCTCTGGTCACATTAAATATTGTTAGGTTCCCTAGTTTAATGTTTAGACATTTCTCAATTTTTAAACACACTCAAAGAAGAAGGGTTTTTACTTTATCCCTGTGCTAATACATTCACAGGACTAAGTCCAAGTTATGCAGTGTTATAAAGCAGCATATCTTTGCCTCTTCAGCCATCGCATTCCACTCTCTTTTTGTCTTCAAAGAGCAGAGTTCAGTGCAGATGCAGACTCAGGGGTTCCACAGAGAAGGACAGCTTAACCATCTAGTAGATTATTAGCACAAGAAAAAAAAGAGGGCTCAAGGACAAAGCCTTGTCTGAAGCCTTACAGTGAAGATCCATTTTACCAGAAAGCTACTTACTCATGCTATCTGCCTGCAGGTTTCTGAGTTCAGCTAATCAAGTTTTAGAGGAATCCAAGGTTTTTATATAGGTGCCTGCTGATTGCAATGACTTATAAATGCAATTGTGTGCACTGTATTGCAGAAGCAGACCCACATCAGCCCTTTTGATAACCTGCTTCACGGAGTCTAACAGGTCCCCAGTGGAATGCAGCCACCTGCCCAGTGGTCTTAGAAAGATCTGATACTAAAATGTATTTTCTGTCTGATTCCAAGGTAAGACCCACATCTGTATCTTTATCTGCTCCGAACATTCCTCAATACAGTCTTGATTTCTTTGCTCAAGAACAGTATCATGAGGCAATGCAGGCATTTTAGTAGTCAGAAAACTCTTCTGCTTCTGTTGTCAAAAGAATTACAATATACCAATTTCTGCAATTTGTTCCTATTTTTTTCTGGTCACACAACCACTTGCCTCATCTCCCTTCAAACTAGCTTGTCAGGCCTTGTTTTGTGGCTCTGAACCTCTTGTCCTTAACAGGCTGCATCTCCTCCACAAAACCCTGATTTTTGGGCATGTCCACACAGGATATACAAAGATTATTCTTTATTAACACAGCCAGCCATCCTTTCCTTCCCCCACACTCTGTCAGTGAAGACGACCACGACTACCTGATGCCACATTTCCTTCAATATCCCCTTGCTGCCTTCCACTCCCTCCTAAGGAGGGAATTACTTTCCATACATCATTTTGCAAAGCCACATGTTTATAGTCTTTAAGACCTTCCCCAGAGCCATGCTACTTGTGGAAACTGAGCATGCTCTTGGCAGCTGAATTAATACAGCTGGGTTTGTGTGCCCTTTGCTCACCCTACTTGGTGCTTTGTCTCTCTCATACTCCAATACTAGAAGATTTGATTTGGCTTTACACTCATCTCATCTGTATATACAACAATTTCCATGATAGGGCCCTGAAATGGCATTGTGATTCAGAATTTATTGAAATGCAATCTACTTATAAGCTCAGCACCACAGCTTTAACTACTGTCTGCATCTTACAACTCCATCCCTTCTTAAATACCTGCTAAATAAATCTGACAATTCGCAAATCAAAGATTAGCATTTGAGAGGAAATATTTAAGACTTTTGCTGTGTTCCTAATGACTGGCCATATGTGTCTGGCCCAACAGATGACACAGGGCCATTCTGACATTCAGGTTCATATGGATAACTATGTGTCTTTTAAAAAACATACGCTTTGATTTTTCAGAGTCATGAATGTTGGGAAGCATATCGTGAGCTGCCTGGATCATCAGATACTCATGGCTGGGCTGTGTGCATCACCACTGGATTATGATTAAGTACATGGGGAAATAAAATCAAGGACACTGCTGTCACTAACAACTCACCTTGATCATCTGGGTACAGTTAGCAGGTGACCCCCCCTTTGTACACTCCAGAGGGGGAAGGATACCAGCCTCACTAAAGGCTTTACTCATGTCATTACACTTGGAAAGTTCTTGCTCAGAGACAGTGCACCACCGGACACGTTCCAGGCCAAGAGCTGCAAACACAACGCCAAGAGAAAACACAGTAAAATGCAAGCAACAGAGCTTACCATTCAAAGGTTCCCAAAGTGCCAACACTTCATTCTGTTCCTCTTCCCAAAACAGAAAGAAATCAGGGCTCTTTCAACAATGAATCTTTAGAGATGGTTCCCACTTTGATTCAGATTAACATAAATACTGAAGTTCTTTGGAGTGGAAACAGAATAGGCTCAGACTCAGATACTGAAACCTCATATTTGTTTCTGACACAAGAAACATGGGTACCATGGAATAGGTCAGGGTGTCCAGACTATCCTTAAAACCTTTCAGAATACATCATCTTTTCTTAAGTCAAAAGTGCTAAAAATTGTTGTTTACAAAGATATACTACAAAACCAAAGAGATTGTCCAAAGACAACTCTGCCTGAAGCACTGCTAGTTTGTACCTGGAATCCTGCCCGAGCCCTTTTTGGTCTGAATAAAAAAAAGCTATCTTAGGTGCCACCCAGCTTATTATGAAAAGAAAACTTTTCCCTTCAAAACACTC